TTTGGCTAACGAACAAACGTCAAAAATGGACGAACATTAAAGAACAACCGACGAACTATCGATTGCATTACAAAAATCTTAATATTTTCACAAATGAGGTGCTAACGTCGGTTAGATAGAAATAGTCCGAAGTCGTTCGGTACACATAAGTCAGAATACCAACCGTTTAGCTATTAAATTCTGAACTACGTAACCTATTAAAAAACGAATGATGTCAAAATTAAGGTAACTTCATAATTTATAGATAGCCAATAATTACGGGATGGTATAATATCTATACCAAAGAACGTAGATAACAAGAAGGGACAACTCGTTCTAATTGTAGCGAAAGTGAGCAACAGGTGTGTGCCTTCTTTTTTGCCCTAGTGCGTTTTTTGATTGGATGAAAAGAGAAGGCAAGGTTGCGCACTTTCGCTAGAATTATAACGAGTTGTCCCTTCTTATTATCTACGTGCTTTGTCTATACTATCGTATGTATCGTGCAGAAATGGATGTTCCTCTCGTTTGACGCGTTCGAAACGCTTCTTGCATCGTTTTGAAGGCGTCAAAGAAGAGGAAGAAAAATGTCATAGCAATAAATGCGAAGAAAAAAATTTATGATGTACGAAACCTAATAGAATACGGTCGTAAAAATCCTATTTTATATTATGTGGACACGCCAAGTACAAAAATATACGAAAAAGGGGAAAATAAGTGCATTGTACATCGCAATCCGACGCGAAAAAACCGCGCAAGTGTGCGCACGTTTGCGGATGCGAAGCTAACAGCGATTCAAGTGTTTATCGTGTATCGCACCAATGGCAAATTAATATTAATCAGTAGATGGCGATCTCTAGTTTTGCAACAGATGTTTTTCACTTGCCGAATATAAAGTTGACCAGCGATTCTAGAAGTATTTTGAGGAAAATTTAATTAAACCAATAAATAAAAGGAGAATTAAAATAGAGAGACAGTGGATAAATTAGCGAGAAATATGAATAAGGTAAGTAAGCGTCATCTTAGAAGATTGGTTCCTAAAGAAAGGGAAAATAATCGTGAAATGTTGAGGTTAAGTGAAAATGCGCAGATTGCCACAATTGCGTCCATTGCTGGAGTTGTCGAAAGTGGAGAAGACGTGCCATGTAATTCGGTAAATGAGGATTTGAAAATATTTATTTTTTTTTAATCTTAAAATGTGGGCTATTCGCAATTAAATGTCCCATAAAATCCTTTCCGAACTTTTGACAATTCTGGTACATGAAAATATTAATGTACCTAAATGCGCAGGAAGTTAAAATCATTAATCGTTTTATTTTACTCCAGCACCTTTTTAAAAAATATGGAGCGCAAAACCCGAGCATGTCGGCATCGGCAGTACCGATAAAAAAGGCAAAATGTAAGTATGCGCTAATTTCTATTGATATTAAAGTATATCGATAAAATAATGTTCTAGATGCGACCGAAAATAGAATCCTCTTAGAAAACAGCTCAGCTGGCCAGTGAATGCACTATAGGTAAATAACTCCTTTCAGTGACATAC